CGAAAGTAAAATAAATGAATGGACAAAGCACATATCGACGAAGGCAAATAACATCTCCAAAGATTGAAGGTCATGGCGTTCTGGCGTGTTCGAGTTTGGGGCGGTTTCAAATCTCGTGATCGGATCGGGATTGGGTCCGACAATCTCAAACCTCCAGGACTCTACATCGGCCTGAGAATAAAAAGATCCGTCCATCTCTTATATCATATATAAATAGAGAGAGAAAAATCCTTATTGTCTGTATTTCACATGTAGAAAAAGAAACGCCGCAATCAGCCTAAGTGAAGCAATGAAGCCAGTAGTGTCGTTTATAACATCGAATCGCAGTGGGCATCCAGGCGGACATTAGGTGAAAAATCGAAAGTAAAGATTTTAATATTTCGGTTGTTGACAAGTATACTTTCATAATGGGGCCATCTAATCGTGTATGAATGGTTGCTAAAACCTGAAGAGATTTGGAGAAACAAGTGTTTAGAAAACGGCATGGAAACTGCCGACTATCATTGCTCTGGACTTGAAATGCCAGTGTTCGCGTTCATTTGCTTTGTTTTTCCACTGTCGAGCTCATCTTTAGAATCAGAAAAGCTTCAGCTATCAGCTCGTGCCAAACACTAAACATTATGAAGCTTGTAACGAAAGTAAAAGTGAAAAAAGTTGACATCTACCGAAATCAAAGTGCTCTCATATGACTATACCTCAGTATAATCTAGTTCCACGATTTTCCACACCTCTAAAATAACATCCAAATACGTCGAACGTTTCGTCTCACACTGCTATATATACCATAAGCTCCCAAAGTCTCCCAACTTTTTCTTTAAGTTTTTACAGATTTGAAAAAAACCTCTAAGGATATCGAAGTATTTCACAGTTTTCTCAGTCGAAAATTAACTTTTTCGTAAAAATAAGCTCATATTCCGAATCAGCGTGAAAAACTGCATCGAATGGTGTATAACTCATCTAGTTTCGGTCGCTCGATTTTGAATCCTAGAAATTTCTTAGCTTTTGAGATTAACACAAACAATTCCGTGCTGAAAATTTGAATTTCAAGATAAAGTAACCTGAACGACTCGAAACATGTTTCTTATAGGTTTTCGACAATGCTCTTTCCAGTGGCATCGTTTTTAAATATTGAGAAAGTTTTCTGAAGGATTTTCCAGACCCCGGATCTCTGGAAAACTCATTAGAAAACTTTTTCAAAATTCAACTCTAATGCCATTAGAAAGACGATCATGAAAAACCTATAAAAAAATGGTTCATGAAATTTTAGTTCACTCATAAAGCTAAAGTCCGCCTGCTCTGGCAAAAAATGCCCACTGTGCGAATAAAGGTAAACCATTATTGATTTATATTCTTCATCATTCTTCATTCGAACACAAAAATTTACGATGAAGAAGTCACTAAAGCTAGTCTATCGCAAGCCGCCAAGACTATGCTGCCGACTGTCATCGAATTCTTTTTTAATACTTCTATAATAAATAAATCTCCAATAACTACAATAAAATATCTTATTTATACACTATCACAGTACAGAAATCTTTTCTCTTCAGTATTTGCATTTTCGACGTTCTTCTTTCGACATTTTCCCTTCCTAGTTTTTTAGTTTAAATTCATTAACAAGTTAAGTGTTAGTGTGACAGATTGATTTGATTTGATTTTTATTTCGACGACAGCAGTTTTGGACAGAAAAGAGTAAACTTTAGTATTACAATACAAAAATTTAACCAGTACATAAACATGTTGTCAGGGAAGCAGAAAAGGCTTTAAACATCTATAAAAATTGCCACCTTTCTATCCTATTTTTATTTTTATTTTTTCCCCTTTCACAGTTGTAGGTGCTGCCTCAGTTTGATTTTGAAAGATTTTATTGTTGGCGAGATAACTAAGAAGCCATTTTCAGAGCCTGTAGGCCATCCCATCATTTTTTTTGACTCAACAATCATATGGACATCCAAAACTGTGACAAAAATCTGCATATTAACGGAGTACTTCAACAACTCAAAGAATTTAATGCTGTTGCCATGACAAACAGTTTTGTGAAAAACACTGATATTTTAGTAACGGCTTGTGGTCAGAGAACTCTGAATATATATTCTAAAATGTCTCGTTATCAGCTATAATATATACTAGAAAAAGTGCCGTGAAAATCGGTCCCTTTTTTTAGGTGCATTGGCAGTTGATTGGCTGTTTTTGCGTTGCTTCATGTCAAGAGACCATGTACCATTTATCTTTCTTTCCGTTGTATAACACACACATCTTATCATTAAAAGAATTTCTGTTGTTCGCTTTTTTCTTCTTTACGTCTGCACAGACACATGATATACGCCAACTAACCGATGGTGATACAAATTTCAGAAATCCGTAATTTTCATGGACTTCAATATCGCACTATACACATACTAAACAACTCAGAACCTTACTTCGTTACACTCATAATGTTGCCTATGGTAAATAGGACAATTGGTGCACATACGTCTTTAATAAAAATCGCTTTTCTTTTCTTTTTGCCATTTATTGGTACTGCTGTCAGTTTAAAGTATTGTTTATTGCTATCTAAACCAATTTTTCATCAAAAGGAAACCAGTTGGGCGCAGGTTTATAATATTATAATATTTATTTAATAACATAGAATACAAATATTTTTTTGTTAACGGTTCGGAGCTATTCTTCAGTTACTTTATATATGGCGGACGTATTGATTTTTTGAACTGAATTGAATTAAATTTATTCTAAGCAGAGGTAAGATATTACAAAAAAAGTACAGAAAAACGTGTGGCATCCGTGAATGCCTCCCTTTAATGTTTACCGGTAAAGCATCCTCTGTTTAACCTGCTTACGCGCTCCAACGCGTGCATATTTTAGCCTCATGATGTATCAAGTTTGACACTAACGATGATTTAGTGATGCATAACAGTCGTAGTTTTGACTCACTTTTCAGTATCAAAGACGCAGTTCTGGCTCTCATTACATTTTACCACTAAAATCTAATTTTCTTTAAAGAAAAGATGTTTCCGGGCCTAATTTCCGGGCCTTTTTCTAAATCAGTTTTTAATGCTGATTCAGAAGAATATAGTTCGAACCTTCCATCTTGCAATACAAGCACAAAAAGTCAATTTCATCAAAGAGGACGGTTTTTTGTATTTTTGAGGTCTTCTCAGTAATTTGAGTTTTACTCCACGAAGAAATGACTTTTGGAGGCTCGGAAGATGTTATTCGTAATCAGCTCGTTAAACTGAATCTGAATATGTATAATAAAGTCAAAAATAAATTCCACTGTAAGTTTGCATTAGCTGAACCTTAGGCAACGATTTTTTTCAATACTTTAATAACTAATAATGCAACTGGGTAGAATTTCAGTCTTTTTTACTTTATTTGTTAAGAATCGAATATTTCGACCTTTACGGTAATTGCCAGTGATAGAAGCACTGTGCTCAAGAATGAAAGTAACAGAACTATAGATAGATTCAGATAAGTATTTTCATCTTACTTGACAGAATCAGATGAAAACTGGACTATATATATTTTCTTTTTTAAAACATACTTACATACATACTTTAAAAATTGTCTAGGTATTCTCAAAAACAGCAGTCCGTAAAAGAAAACATCATATAATCTCGGATTGTGCGTATAGTATGACTCATGTTTATAAGATTAGAATAATTTTTTGCCCTGAAAGTAAAATAAATTTGTCTCTTTGAAACTCACTGTTAATAATTAATTTTGCCACATTTCATTCCAAAGATTGTTCATATAAGGCGCCGCTAATTCAAAAGTTTAGCACATTTTTATTTCTCGTTTTCTTATACATCATAGGACAGAGAATTTCACGCTAATCAGGGATATCACCTTTTTAGCCTTTGTACTACACGTTTTTATGGAAAGAAATTTGAAATACTCTGAGAGTCTCAACATCGGGAAAAATCGTCGTATTTCAAAGAAGTATAATATTCAAAGTATAATTTCGAAAAGTAAGAATAGCTTTTTCTCCTTTGTATTTTAAAGCGTCCAAACGTTATTTTTCGGATTTAGCATTAAAAATTGAATTAGAAAATGTTTTTTGAAATTTTTCCATATGTCATGCGATTGTAGGAAAAATTCGTTTACAAGCATAGCTCCAAAGCGAGGGCCTCGCCTCAGAAAGCTATCTAGTTTTCTGTGTTAATATATGGAGCTCTAATTCTTGCGCCATTCGATCGGTCTTAATTCGTAGTACAAAAATTTGGATCGCTATTTTCTAAAATTTGTTTCGTTCCTGAGAATATACATTTTTCTGAACCAGCAGCGAAAAAAATCTGAATTCGGCCCGTAATGCTCTATTTTCTCCATCAGAACTCATTTTTTATGCAATAAAAATAGGCGTTCTGCTGGAAGTCCTTAAAGCATGATCCCTTGGTCATTGATTTAATTGTAAATTAATTAATAAATCCGTAAATTCTTCTTCATTTTCTGCATTTAAATTACGATCCCGTATTTGTATAATTAATTGTTCACTATCAATTTTTCATATGTATTTTCATCACTAGTTTCTTCCATTTTTGTCACTAACAATGCAATGATTTGTGTATTTTTAATATCACGTAAAATTTTTCTCCATCGTGAAATTTTTTTATGCGGCTCATTTGTGAACAAGTCGAATTTTAACAAAACCAATTCATTAATCCATTCATTTTATGGATAAACATTTATTATCCATTCATAAATAAATAAATTATCTTTATTCTGTTTGGAATATAAAATTCCCATTGATAATAACGTAATTATTTCATCTTTAATTTCAAAATTTTCAATATTAAAACGTTTTTTAATCGTTTTATTATTTCAAAATTTTCTATTTAATTTCGATGAAATCATTGTCAATACTAATCGTACACTATCTCTTATTTTTTTCATCATCAAAATAATTATAGATTTCATTAATGTCTTTGTTTTTGATCATCATAATTTAATAAATCGATTGTCAATGTAACAAACAGGTTGGATATTTGTTGAATTTTTATTATGTGTTAATTTACATATGTATTTAATAAAGTTTGATCTTTATCATCCGCTGATGGTACATGAACATTTTGACAAATATTTCCATGATAAGCCAATAATTCAATATCGTTTACGTTAAAAGACTGATAATTTTGACAAATATAATTTCTATGTTCAATAAAAACATTTTCATCTTTACAGAAACAATTGTCTTTTGTTGTTGCTGAATTTTATAATTTTTTAAAATTATCAACATATTTTTTTATTTCTGGATATTTTGTTTTCTCACGAGAATTTTTCATTTCATTTATTGATAAACACGCCGGTGGTTCTGGTGCTGATCTTAATCCAATTTGTACATATTGTGTTTTATTTTCATATTCTGAATCTCGGATTCTGTGCGCATCACTGCTTGTATAAGTTGATAATTTTTATATCAATTAGGCCCGTAATACAGTGGCTCTGTCCACGTAATCAACATCAAGTTTATTTTCATCAGATTTACCAAAATTTTCATCAGACCTTTTTGTTCATCAGAACTTCGACTTTTATCAATAGCGCTTGTTTTAATGTTTGCTTTTACGTCTGGTTTTGTTAAAATTTTAATGTCACCTGCCAATCCTGTATCACGTGCATATGAAACGAAAATTCAATATTTTTAAAAGACATGTATTCTATTCATGCCAGACTTAAGTCAAATGCTTTTACAGCTAAACAACTGCACACACAAAATACTCTGTAATATTCACAAAAAACATCAGCTGATAACAGGGCTAACATTGAATAAAAACACCAACGGGTGACAGCAACGGCGACACCCGTTTGTATCACCTGCATATCCACCGAGTCCACCAAAATCACCAGGTTTTCCTGGTTTACCAGATGCTCCTTTGTAGAAACAATAAGCTTCTCTTGAACTTATTGTAAATATTGCCCAATAATATGAAAAAAAAATACAATTTTCTTGTCCTTTTTCAGTTTCAATATAATAACATTCTTGTCCATGACTCCGAAACGTTTCTTCTCATTTTTCATTTTTTGTAATCGTTGGATTTTCTTTTATATAAGCTATAATATTTTTTACATTCCCCACTGATTGTCCACCGGTCGTTTTTGCGGTTGGTGGAAAATTTCTTTTAAATTCTCCCATTTCTAATCCATGATCATCTGCACCTTTTTCACCATCCACACCATCATCACCATGTTGTCCATAACTCCCATTTCTACCATTTGCTTTTATTTCTAAATTATTTTCATTTTCAATTGTTTTAGATATAATTGTTATATTTCCTCCATTTTCACCTTTTATACCATTTTGACCATGTTTTCCATTTTTATCCGATTCACTTCCATATTCTTTACCATTTTTTTGCTTTTGATGCTTATTTTCTGATTGATCGTTTAATCCTGAAACATCAATTATTCTCTTGTCTATAATAATTATTTGTTTTGCACAAATTGCCATATTTTTTTCACCCCATATATCACAAACACTAAACGAATTTTCTGATGCCATTAACCAAACTTCAACTGAATTTTTTAATTTTTCTTCCAATGTTGTCAATATGTAATTCAATGAAATATAAACCCATTTTACTATACCATTATATTTTCTTAACAGTTATGATAGTTTGAAATTAGAATATGAAGAAAATGATTTACATTGTTTCTGTTATAAACTTATTGAGAGAAAAACATTATTATCTGTTGATTTTATATTTTTTACTATTACTAATGAAAGTACGGAAATACTAAACAGATTATACACTACATTGATTGAATTTAATAATTATAGTGAGAAATCTATTGCAATAGTTGAAGTTATAAATACTCGTTGTTTAGCTATACGAAAATAAAATTATGAATATTCATTAAAAGGAAAATAAATGAATGGTTATAAATGGATAGGGTTAAATTGGTGTGATTTAGATTCTTTTTTTCTTAGTTTGCAAGTTTAAAGTAGTTCCGATTTCGTCACTAGTAAATAAATAACACGAATCACGGAAATTCGCGCCGTCCTTTGACTGTATGT